AATGACACCATCTGGGCCGCTAAGGCAAACAGTTAACCCCCGGACACACACCCAGGCTTGATCAACCTGTGGTGGGCCTGCCTCAGTGGAGGGTGTCTTGTGTTAAATGGCCGAAACACCCGTCGATGCTGAGGTACACAACTGACGATGTGTCCCGGCGGTAAAGCCTCATAGCAGCCATCTTTCAAAAACTTCCCATGAATTAGAAGTGGTGCTACAAGAGGGATTGCAACATCTAGTCCGAACTACGCCCATGGGACTGCTTAAGTCTGCGCTTGTGTGACTGTCGCCCAGAACTACGCTCCCGCTCACCACCAGGGGAGGAAACTGCTTCCCCCGTAAGGGAAGACTGCTGCACTAGTCTAGCCCTTTCTTCATAACGCAAATCAACTGCCGCTGGACATGGACTTTCCACATCATTCAATACATGTGCCTTACCTAAACAGGAAGGACACACACGGTGGCCATCACGCAGGCCCAAAGCTGTGCCACAAAAACAACATACCTGAGGATCCATGGTGTTGTCAGCAATATGTCCAATCCCGCCCACTGCGAACAGCAGCCAATGGGAATAATTTTCAAGTCCACTTAATGCAATGATATCACTTAACCTTACCTGCAAACAAACTAAAGTTAACACAAATATAGTGGAGATGCGACTTGGCACCCCGCCAACAGCAACAATACAAGCAAATTTCAAAGGAAAACCATTGAAAATCCTCAGGGACACATAGGCGGTGGGCCGAAGGTTGCTATCTGCTTTTGTTTTTGAAATGATCGATTCTCAGCGATAGAGTAGCTGCTTTTTTAACATTAACTTAATATATTTTTTCTGAACACGTTTCCGTTTGTTGGCAGTCTCAATTTGATCATATTTTTATGAAAACTAAAATTATGTTTGATAAACTAATCAGGTAAACGCTATGGCATACTATACCGCAAACCAATCAAAAACAAGTTCCAGCGTTACCTGACTTGAAGTGTGCCAATGATATTCGTCCAAACAGGAAGTAAACACGGCTCAGAGGAGTTGACCGGAGTTAACCGTAAAAAGTAGTGCTGCACGATTTGGTAAAAATGTGCGATTGCGATTATGGTGGACAATATCGCGATTTGCGATTGCGATTACAATATAATTACAATAAAATGTAATAAATAAATGGTATCATGAGTCTTTTTGCTTGATTCAGTGTTTCCCCTACATTATATTAGGAGGCAGTGACCTGACATAATTATTGTTATGGACAGACAGTATGTCAATGACCATCAACAGACTGAGCACAGTCAAACATGCTGCTCACACAGCAGTGCAGCACGGAACTGTACACACAGCGGAGCGAGCATATGTTGCGTTCAGGCGTTGTCACGTAAATGACGAATTCCAGCGCCATAGCACAACACAGCAGCATGTCAAGTGGGCTGAAACCGAGCAAAATTGCTCAATTTTTCATTTGTTATGGAGTCCATGATTTCCCTGTGACACTTACAAATGTTTGCTTAACTGTGCTTTCAGTTGTCTCTTTGTCTTTCACGTTACACGGCTCGGCTTTCTCTCACACGCACTCTTCCTACTTTTCCCTGTGCTGTGCTGTCTCAAGTGTTGATATAGATTGGTCATGATGCCGCGGGAAGTGGCGACTTTAACTTTTAAACTTTTACACAGCAAAACTTTCAGGTACGGCGACGTTGGACAGAAAGACGCGCTGTGTAAAAGTTTAAAAGTTAAAGTCGCCACGTCCCGTCTCAAGTGCTGATATAGATTGGTTGTGTTGCTTCGGGACGTGGCGACTTTAACTTTTACACTTACACAGCACGTCTTTCTGTTCAACGTCGCCGTACCTAAATCCAAAGTATCGCCATATCGCCTTGGTCGAGCTCATGCTCTTCTTCAGTGTCTGTGTTGGTCACTGCTGCACGCCGGCTGCACGCACCAGGATAGCTTGTGGACGTGATATCAACAAACTCCACACACTACAGGAGAGGCAGTCACGTTCACAGGCACACACGTTAACATTTATTTACATTAAATTGCAAATCGCAGCCTTTTATGCGGTTATGTAATCGCACAGCCTGACACCGCGATTACGATTGCGATTAGATTAATCGTGCAGCACTAGTAAAAAGTATGTAGTTTGTGTCTTTATTCATGGTCTTTATGCTATCTAACCGACAGTATTCACCTGGACATTTTCTGCATATCTTCCGTGAGAAGCTGAAGACGTTTCTAAAGTTAACTTAGTTGAAGTGTTTTGAACAGTTATTCACGTTGTGTATTAGCTCATTAGCCACCGATGTGTTGTTAGCATTCATCGCTAGCAAAGCGAATGGACTTTTAGCCGCAGTACAGCTAACTCAGCTTACTAATGAGGCTGCAGTTCATAGTTTCTGATGAGGAGAACCTGAGGAACAAACGGACTGTTCTGTGAGTAACCCAGCTAACGCTCAGAGTATCCTGACTGCACTGCTTGGGCCCCGCTGTCATGGACGACAGCGAGGGGCCGTCTTCATCTTCGCCACTGACTGAATAGGCTCATTCGAGATGAACTGCGCCTCGCCTGAAAAGTAGACGAGAGCAGGCGGTCGCAGCGGGGGGCGGTGACAAAAAGCTGCGGTGAAGTCGGACAGTTTCCCGACAGTTTCCACAAAGAGCATGGATACCAAGAGGCGAAGCTCAATAGAACGCTCCATAGCAACAAATTCCCCCATGGTTTCGTCCTACCACCGCCATTTTGGACCGTCAGCAGACCGCAGCAGACCCGCTTGCATACAACAACACATAGACAAACTGAAGTATATCGCTATTAATTATGCTTACAATGCTACTCACCTCGTGATAGCTTGGTCACAGCTGCTTTTTCACGTTTTTGTAAAGCAAAATATAGACTTTAAAAAAAACTAAACGAGGAAAAACGGCCGAGATGGCATCTCTACATATTACATCCACTTATGAGAAGATTAACTTAATTACTCCTTCAAATAAGCCATCATAAGCCAATCTACCAAATAAATAAATAAATAATAATAAAAAAAAATCAATACTTTAACTAGAAACACATTAATGGCGACATCACATAGTCAGGAATAAAGATTTATTTACAGTTTGTACAGTAAGGGGACAGTAGTAATAATAATAATAATATATAAGTTATTTTAATCTGATATATTTTAATGCTAAAGCAGTAATCAGTTCTGATATAAATGGTACAAGAGGCCATATATAGGCCTATATATATATATATATATATACATACAGTATATCTTCCCATGAAAACTGGCATATTAAATTGATATTAAAACACTTTAAAACNAATCTCTAAAATTCAACAAAAATGAGTAGTTTATCTAAAACATCATATTGTTGAGTCGACATCTAAACCAATCAGCTGTTAGATCAGGTGAGAGCCAGGCGGTGTAGTCAGTGGAGAGCAACTGCAGCGCCTGGCTCTAAAAACTGCGGCCGCCTCGCTCTCGCAGCTTTATCGCCGTCCACTTTTGTAATACGTCAGAGCGAGACGGGATGAAGTCGGACACAAAATTAACCGGCATGCATTGTGCGCCAATCGCCGTTGATCGAATCTGCACAGGACTGGCTCATCTCGAACAAACCTAGTGACTGAAAGGCTGTTACACATCGTCTGGACACGTGTGACATCTTGATCAAAATAGTCGTTAGTTGCAGCTCTAGACTGTATTACAGTAGGCTAAGTTAGTTTTAGCTTCATTTGGCCTATAAGTGACAAGACAAGAAGACAGAGATTAAAGTGGTAAAGATAACATTTATACAGAAGTTCACATCAACTGACGATCACTTAACATTAACATACTTTCTCTTGAATTGTTTCATCTTTAAGTATTTCATCAAACAGAAAAATAACAATAATACAGATTATAACTGAATCTTATTTTTTTTGATTATTAACTTTTCTTTTAGTTCAGACAGTTCCTTTTTTTTAATTTGCCAAAGGGCAAAAAACACACCTGCACTAAGGCTTAGTGTGAAATGTTCTCACAGTCCAAACAAAGGCACATGTCTGTGCACATGTCAATGCTCTTTGGTTTCCAGCAGCCTTCAGTCCGTACAGGAAGTCACAGACACACTAACATCCTGTCTGGAATGATGTCAATTCATTAAAAAAAGTGATCAGACCCATATATCAGTTTGTTTTCACCATCAGTCACACAACATGTTTTCTTTTCACAGAATAAACCTTCAAATCAGACAAATACAATCTTAATCTCTAAAATTCAACAAAAATGAGTAGTTTATCTAAAACATCATATTGTTGAGTAAACATCTAAACCAATCAGCTGTTAGATCAGGTGAGAGCCAGGCGGTGTAGTCAGTGGAGAGCAACTGCAGCGCCTGGCTCTAAAAACTGCGGCCGCCTAGCTCTCGCAGCTTTATCGCCGTCCACTTTTGTAATACGTCAGAGCGAGACGGGATGAAGTCGGACACAAAATTAACCGGCATGCATTGTGCGCCAATCGCCAATGATCGAATCTGCACAGGACTGGCTCATCTCGAACAAACCTAGTGACTGAAAGGCTGTTACACATCGTCTGGACACGTGTGACATCTTGATCAAAATAATCGTTAGTTGCAGCTCTAGACTGTATTACAGTAGGCTAAGTTAGTTTTAGCTTCATTTGGCCTATAAGTGACAAGACAAGAAGACAGAGATTAAAGTGGTAAAGATAACATTTATACAGAAGTTCACATCAACTGACGATCACTTAACATTAACATACTTTCTCCTGAATTGTTTCATCTTTAAGTATTTCATCAAACAGAAAAATAACAATAATACAAATTATAACTGAATCTTATTTTTTCCGATTATTAACTTTTCTTTTAGTTCAGACAGTTCCTTTTTTTAATTTGCCAAAGGGCAAAAAACACACCTGCACTAAGGCTTAGTGTGAAATGTTCTCACAGTCCAAACAAAGGCACATGTCTGTGCATGGTAGCTTGTTCAGTTTGCATGTGCATCTCCCTTTAACACATTGTGTTTTTTTACAGGAGCAGTACACGAGCTCCAAGATGCCAATAGGGGCTGGGGGAAGTGTCATCCAGTCAGTCCCAAAGAAGTCTCCCTCAATCTTCCAACCATGGGCCATTGGTGGGGGTATGTCTGGCTGACTCTGCAGGCACCTCCTGTGTATGGCTGCATGGTAGTTTGCCCTCTGAGTGTGCTTATGTAAGGCATCCCTGTTTGGTGGTAGACTTCTGTCTGTGCGCTTTCCACTCTTGAACATTTGACTTCTTGCATAGTTTACATCCCTACAGCCTTTTAGGTCACAGAGGGCACAGGTAAAGGCTTCACTTGCTTCATAAAGCTCTGTTGTGAGTTGAAAAGATGTTCCCAACTTCCTTAATGTGACACAGTGCTCTTTGTCAGATAGCATTGTTTTTATTGCCTTCAGTTTACCAACGCCATGCATAGCACTCACTGTATCACAGCCAGTGAAACAGTGGAGACCAATCAGAGCATCAGAGACTTCATCACCAAGATGGTTGTGTATTCTCTGAACATGTATGGTGCGTTTGTTTGCCACCTTCCCTGTGTGGAAGTACAGGTTTGCTCCAATTTCCTTGCAGAAACTGATGGCCAGTACAAACACATCCGTGTCAGGACTGTTGACCACAATATTTGAACTGTACTGTGAGGCATGTGCACAGTGAAGTACCAGCCGAGTGTCTGCCTCCTCCTGTATTGTGAACAGTGCTGGCAGCGGTAAGACCTCAAGCTCTGTGCCACTGTTAGCCATTCTGATTACGTGACACTCAGACACATGTCCAACTATCAGCGTAATATCTTCAATTTGATCTTTCCCGGACTTTGACCACGTCTCAAAAAGAAACTGTTGCAGTTGCTCTTTGTTATTACCACAAGACAAGAACTTAGACCATTGTTTGGGTGTTTTCTGTTCAGCGGAATATATTGTAGTCAACTGACATCCTTTTGTTCCTTGTCGGTCTCGTTCTGCATTCTTTACACTCATTGTTTTGTAGGTATCAGGGACAAAGTGCACCACTTTAGATTTACTTGCTTTGGCTGCATTGATCAGGTATATTAGTACACTGTTGGCAAACCTTCCAAATGTATTTTGGGGTTTCCATGTTGAACCATCAGGGATTTCAAATGTTGCTGGTGGACTTGCTGATCCTTCCAGAAAGTGCATTAATTTGGCTTTGTCTGTTGTCACAAGAGAGTCATCAATATTCGCAATTGCTGCAGGCAAGGGACCCATACTGTAGACCAGCATTTCCTCTATGTCTATCTTCCTTGCTGTTCCGACCACAATTAGCCTTGCGAAAAGATCTCTGTCTGCTTTGATGACTACCTCCCGGTCTCTCACTTTGGTTACACTTGAGGTTGCTGTGTCCTTAAATGTCTTTAGTTTCATTTTTTTCACTGGAGCATGAAATTCCACCTCATCTCTTTTGAGACGTTGTTGAAAAAAATTAACAAATGCCCTCTCACCTCTCTCCTTTGCATTCAACAGATCAGCAGAGACAACTTCTGATGCTACCTGACCTGATGTTATATGGTAAAGCTTCTCTTTTTCCAGTGTTTGATCAAATGGGTTCATCATGTGTTGTATAGTTGACAGAATGCTCTGAACATCTTTTTCATCCTGATCCTTTCTTTTTTTCCTCCAGCTCTGATCTCTGTCTTGTTGGCATGCTCTGCCCAGCCATGTCCTTGACCTCCATTGTGATGGCTGCTCTCTCGTGCTGTGGCAGTGTCCACCTGTGGACTGCACCTTTGTTCAATGAAAAACCTGTAAGCCCACCTTTAGTCTTTGAGTCCCTGTTTGCTGTCTGCTCTATTACCTGGTCATTTAGGATGTTCATCTCAAGCCAGTATGCTGATATGTATCTACTGTAATTGATTCTGTCATAGGAAAAGAACCATGGCAGCATGATGCGGAGGCTGGAGAGATGCAGACCCCAATTTGCCTCTCGTGTGGCCCTGATGAAGCAAAGGAGGTCTTCCACCATTTCGATGTAGGAGTTCCAAAATTGGAATGTTTTACTTTTTTGTTGTTTGTGGAAATTTTCATAGCCTTCAAGGATTCTGTTGAACTCCTGTGATTTAATGATGGCTTGAAATTCGTCTTCAGGGAAGGCTCTCTGGAGGTCAGCGGCAACTTTCAAAGCAGTTTCACGGCAGTCCTGAGGTAGGGTCTCAAAATATGCTTGCCAGCGTAACCTGTGTAGTGCCTCACATAGCAACTTGTGGCTACGGATGCTTCTGTTGTAATGGTGGCCTGTTACAACTCCCCCAACAGACACAGCAGCAATAACATCAGCCTCAATCAGGATGTCTTGTAAGCCAGCATCCCCAAAATGTTTGCCAATACAGGACAAGAAGGCCATACATGTGTGAAACTCTCCCATTCTGACTGTAAGTCTTTCCTTGTATGTTTCATTCTTCCACCGTATCTCCTGAACTTTTGCATAGATTGCTTGGTCAAAGACTAGAACTATCTCCTGAAGTTCTAATTTGTTTGCAATTTCTGTTGATCTCTTAAGTATGGTTTCTACTGTTCCCAGTTCTGTAGGACTTGAATCAATCACTGGAAGGTATCCGATGTTGGTTGGTGGTGGAATTGGACCTCTGTGAATGAGTGTGTTAAAACCAGTCCATCCAGGAAGGACTTCACCATGGACTGCAGTCTTCATGAGGAAATAAGCACCATCCAATGTTTGTGCTGTTTTCATGGCATGGATGTGGGTTTCTAAATCTAGTTCCACTACTTTCCCAAAATGTTTTCCAGGCCTGTTCTCTTTCCTCTGATGTATGTTTCAAGGTGAGCAGAGGGTGGATCAAGTGACCTCTTTCTTGTTTTCTGTAAACACTGGTTTTCAGGGGTAGGTTCGTCACATGAAATCATTTTTTGAATGATTATACTATTTGTATTGTGTGTAGTCCCCTTACCTGATAATGTTTCCTCTCCAAAATCGTTATTGTCCCAAACAAGAGTTGCTTGCATTTGTACATGTATGTTTTGGGGGATGTATGTGTCACCTCGTTGTATTTGCAGATGTGCCAAAGCTGTGTCATGTTCAAGCACCTGTGAGTTGGAGGAACAGTGCCCAAGACCATTCAATAACCCTATCAGCTGAGCTGATCCTGTCATGTGTCTAACAGCCATGGCTAAGGCACAGTGTTTCGGCATGAGCCATCTCCCTTTCATTGTAAGTCTCAGAACACCCTGACAAATTGATACAACCTTTGCAGATTCCTCCTCTTTAACATTCACTCTTTCATTATCAGTAGAGGGATTGGTTGTCGTGGCTGTGCTCCAGGCGATAAAATTGAAGAGCTTATTTGGGATCAGATTTGAGGCAGCTGACATTGTAAATTGCTGTGCTGTTGGTGGCCATCTGAGTGTGGGGGTAGTTTTACACTTTCCACTATTTCATCTTTCAGTGTCATGGCTGCATGGTACAAGAGTCTTGTCTCATTTATGTCATTTGTGTCATTTGTTTCAGGTGCTCTTGTGTCATCTTCATCTGATGAAGAGGATGATGATGGTGGTGAAAAAGAAGCTGTGGCAACTTCATCTTGGACCACTTCATGTGGTGTCAAATCCTCAACATAGACAAAGTCATGTCTTGATAATTTCTGAAACTTCAGAAAAGGACAGGACTTTTGTAGTCTCATTTTTAAAGATGATGATTTGTAAGAGGAGATGTCAATTCCTTCTTTTTCATGGACACATTTTTTGAATAGAGCATTCAACTCTGAAAGCTTGAATACCTTCCGTTTCTTCAGTAACCTCTCCTCCACGACTGTTGTACAAAAATGATTGTATCCAGTCTGAAACTGGTTGTTCCCGGTGCAGTCAGCTTCATCTTTTTTGTACAGAAATACTGTGTAATTTCTGTAGCATCTGAAATGATACATTGCTTCTGAGGCAACAAGATCTATCCCACGTTTGTGTAGCAGCAGGTTTTCATCCTTGCGTTCCTCAGCTGCAAGAAGCAGCTTACCAGCTGTCAATGTTTCACATTGTTGTAAATTCTCTTTAACCCTCTTGCGGTTATGTTTTTGTGTGAAATATTTTTCACGTTTGCATATTATGCACTGCCTTGGAAAGAGATGGGGTGTTCTCTTTAGGTGACCTGGAACCTGTGTTGTGGCTGAGCAAAGAACTCTAACCTCTGGTGGCAGATGGTCATTTGCACTTGTGTGTGCCTCATCGTCTAATTGTAATGAGAAACAAAATGGGTTGGGAATTAAATGTATTGAAAACTATGTGATGACTATGGTATTAGTACTTTTACTGAACAAAAGGATCTGAATACTTCACCACTGTGTCATAAATGAATATTTGTGATATGAAAATTGAAACTGAATGTACTGTCCAAAGTCAAAACCACAATGTTGTACAAATCCTCAATCTGCTGTATTGCCCTTTCTTTCCTCTTGCGAGCTCTCTCAATGTTTCTTCTGTTGGCATATTGCATATAGCATTCTCGGTGGTAGCCATCATTAGCTGGCACACTTGGAGAGACATTTTTCTTTAAATCATATTTTTCTCCAGCTATTGCTGCAACTTGGCTTTCTTTAGTATCAAAACTGACCCACTCCAGAGAACTTCTTACAAATGCTGCCCAACTTTCAGCTGAAAACTGTATGAAATTAGGAGTTGTGCTGCCTGCTACGTGCATACAGCACTCCATATTTTCAAGGTTGCATCCTTAGCTGAAGATGTGCTAGCTAAGGTAAACATGTGTTTGGGTTTATGCAAATGAGATGACATTTTAAAAAAATCACACCAAGTGACGAAAATGACTCAGACTCATCACTTGTTGTATATTGTAGTTTATTAGGTCATTCATTACACTCTAGAAGCTTATAAACTAGTCAGTTTAGGGTATATTATTAAGAAATATATACATATATATTAAAATTACTCTTTTGTTTAGTATTAGAACAATATGAGAAGGTTACATAGAAAAATAAATCAGAACACTGGCCATTTTTAGCACCTGCAAAGGGATGTGTGTAGACTAAGATTATACAGTCATGTTACATACATATATTAATGATGATGGTGATTATATACCATATATTTACATTAAATTGTTCATTTTCACACATGAATAAGTAAAAAAAAGATGGAGCTGTCAGTTTTCCCTGTTTACATTTTCGGGTCCTAAGGCCGTCTGCCATTGGTTGATATTCTCTAAACTACAATCTGATTGGTTCATCAGCTAGAATTATCCCGCAATTTGCCTGAGCAGAGTGACAATTAAAATACAAGTTTGTGAAAATATATGATCAAACCAGAGCTGCCAACAAATTTTCCCAGACTCTATAGAATTGTTTAATATCACACACTCTATCTATCTATACTCTATCGACGGAGATCGATCAACAACACGAAAAACACATTCGGCCCACCGTCTAAATCGAGGAAACGCTACTTTACCGATTCTAATAAAACACTGATGACGCTAAACGTTAAAAAACTAGACTTCAGATCAATGATCATCACTGATGAACCTGACAAAGAAGATTATGTCATTTTTAAAGAGGACATTTCCTTAATAATCAAGACGGTAGCTTTCCTTTCGGCTGTGCGCGCGCGCTCCCGCGAAGTGCATGCAATTCTCGGCAGGCATGCAGATCTCGGCATAACACCAGTGTGAGGAGGAATGCCGCGAGCTGCCGATGACGGAGTCAAGCCCGCGTCGCTAGCCATCTTTACAGTAGCCTCTCTCAGGCACTCCTTCACCTCACATGCAGCTCTCGCAAACTCTCTGGCCATGTCCTCCGACCACCCGCATGCTCCTTCCTCCTCGTCTCCCCTCTCCTCCTTCTTCACTCTCCTCCCGCCGTAGTAATCCATGTCGTGCACTAGCAAACAGGCTAACTCACCGCCAATGCTCAGCTATCTCCCGCCAGGCTTGTAGTCTGTTGTCCCAAATCACTTCTGACACCAGTGTAATGAATCACTCACGAGCAGGAGACCAGAGTAGCGTTCGGGAAAAAGGCCTGTTTATTTGTGCACTCCAAAAACTCTGACTCTTCTAGCGTAGCACACACACTTCATACACACATACTCACTTACAGTACCCAGCGGGGCAGCCCTCCTCCTCTCTGCTCCACCAATCTCCAGCCCGCACACTGACTGACAGCTGACTCCACTCATACCACACTTACCACTGCCCCAGAGTCGCTACAGTCTATTTAATGTTGTAGTGTGATTTCCTTAAGTAACTCCATTTGTATTCATGTCATACTGTTAATGTTTTTTTATTGTTAGATATTAATTTATGTGCATGTTCTCTGTTTTATTTCTTTATCGTAGTAACCACCCGTCGCACCCATCATATAGCCTACCTCACCTATGGATATTCTGACCAAGAGAAAATGAATGAGTGGCAAGTCAGTTAGTGTGTGAACTGGATTTAATATCACCCATCAGCATCCTGTTTTTACCGGACAACCTGTGGAGATTGACCATCAATAAAACCAACACCTCTTTTATAATTTCATTCCATTTAATATCACTGAATTACTTTTGATACTTAATTAGCCTACGATAAATATTAGATACTTATTGACTTTTACTCAAGTAATATTCTCAAGTGTGACTTTAACTTCTACCAGATCGGTACTTTTACACAAGTGGGTCTTTCAGGTACTTTATTCACCACTGGTAAGGGGAGAGAAAGGAGGAAAAAGGACATCTCCCCCAGCAGACCAGGCCTATATCAGCCTAAAGTCTAGTAGTCCAGAGGAGACACCCATCAAACCTGAGACAGCTGGAGCACTGTGCTCAGGAGGAGAGGCCCAAACTGTCTGTTTACAGTTACACAAAATGTTTGATTGCTGTGACTGGCCCTAAAGATTGTGTACCAAAATATTACGTCAAGGGTCCCTTAATTTTTGTCCATGTTGTTTTCATTTGTTTTATTATTATTAAAAAAAAAAAAAAGCAAAAGCAAAAGCAAAAGCAAAGTCTGATTTCTATTAAAAATAGAATAAGCAATGGTGGTTTGTCACTTTCAGGTTATTTCAGAGAAAATTGTTCATTTTTTTAAGGGGCACCATATTAAAGTATTTTTCATTATGTATTATTTTTCCTAAAAACTATTGTAAACCAGGAACACATAGAACATATTCACAGCACGTTATAAACAAATGTAGGCCACTGTCAGCAGAACAGACATTACAGTACAAGATTATTTAAAAAATATATGCATACCAACAAGAAGTCTACATAAACAGATAACACTGATCAAAGAACAACTAACTTAATAAACGTAAAGTGAACAATTACAATGATTACGCTGGAGTTACACAACATGATTGTGCATTTTAGTAGGCCTATTTGTATGAGGAAATCCGACATTTACGAGGGGCACCTAAAGTAGCATGCCAAGTACCTTCTCCTGAATGGTGCGTCCAGGAACGTCCCCATATCACTCTGAGCCAATGGAATTCCTCCTCGGAACACGCGTTTCTACGACACACTACTACTGGGAATATGGGCTCAGTTTCCTACTTGTCATTTGCACCAAACAAGTGACAGATAATGTCTCTCCGTGTATTAGAAATAATCTTTTTCTGCTATTTTGCCTCTCACATTCCTATCACTGTATTTATTGACTTACAAGCCCTGCTTCCTGGATATGTGTATCCTCAGCCGGTAAGCGTCAGAACCAGGAGAAAATAGAAGTTATAAATTCATAATCAGCTGTTTTGTGTCTATAAGACAATTTACACATGGAATCTTTGTCCCCACCAGCTGAGAGACCTTCTGAGGTGGTATGCAGAGGAGTTCAAAGACCCGATGGTGCTGTATCCGCCGGAATGGTTCAGCTCTTTCATTTTCTGCGAGGCTGTGTTTCAGACGCCTTTCTTTCCCGTTGCAGCTTATGCTTTCCTGAAAGGTCAGTTTATACAAAATATGTAGGCTATAAATATGTTTAATACTGCGATGCTCTTTGACACAGAAACGCATCATGTGGGACACATTCTGGTTTATGCCTCAGGAGACTACAAAAACAGTTAATTCACTCCAGTGATGTTTCTGTGAATTATTTTTGGCCTTATTAGTCTCATTCGTATGTGGAAATGAAATGGTACTATTATTTTTTAGAAGCTACACACCTTCAAACATATGCTACTTTGCCCCCCTTTGTCACTCAGGTAGCAAGTAATGTGGAACAGCTTGTTTGATAATGTGGGACAGTTATTCTTAAGGCTCATTCATACTCCCTTCATGAGCGAAAATAGATTCGTCCCTTGCAAACTTCACTGCCCTCAAACTTCCATGAGTTCTTTATGGTAGGCATAGGTAGGCCTACAGCCAATAGATGGCACTAGAGGGCAACGTTTCACACAACAACAATTGAGGCAAAGGTGGAGGAGGTTATGATATTCAACACAGGGAACGTTGTAGATGGCAGTGGTCTGTGAGGTCACTAAAACATCCCGACATGTGGACAGAGAATTCTTTTGACGTTACGAAGTTACAATTCGTTACATTCCGGAGTTAACTGAAGTGTCTCTGTCGTCTCCTACAGTCGTATCTCGCTTTAATTACGCTACACTGCCTCTATGACCATTGGTGGACTTCCGCCGAGTCCGAACCTGTTAGGCTTTCTGAAAACGTATACAAATATAAATTAAATGAAGGCAGAGTACATGCTCCCTCTCTGTATCTAACATTGTGTGTTAATGAGCCCTTAGCTCTCATTGATTGTTTTCAGTCGCAGTAGAATAGGCAGAGGAGTATGATTTTTTTCCCACAGATTATCTGTCTCATTTAGTGCTGTGTAAATATAATGATATTTTCAGCAAATATGGAAAAGCGTATGTTTACATAAACGTTACCAACTAGAGGTCTTACAGAGGTCAGGTAACTTCTTTCTAACTCCGCACTCCAACTCATTTTCAGACTTGTAATCATCAGCTTTAATGACTGAAGTGATGTGAGGACATTTATCATGTAATCACGGATTAGGAAGTTCACCCACTAATAATAGCTGTGTTAGGGGAAACACTGGTTTAAAACGTTATTTTGTCAATCTAGCCTTAATGATGGACTTGCCTATATGGAGGTAAACTAATCTAGATTTAGGCTTATGTCTGTAAGTTTATAGACTATGCTGGGTGTGAAGGTGAGAGGGCTGTGGTGCTAAGAGTTGATTATATACTAACAGTTAAATATATTATAGTGTTATAGCATAAGTGAAGCAAAAAATAGTGTCTCACTTAACCTGAACAATGCCTTCCACATTAGCTGACGTTTAGGTAATGTGAGACAGTGACATTTATGAAGCAAAGTATTATTTTACACATTTTCTGTGTGTTTCAATCATAGTGCAGGTTGTTATCTAATTTAAATTCCATTAACAACCTTATCACTGAGAAATAGAATGTCATATGCCACTGAGCATAACATGTGCTTGCACTGCAGAGACTTCCTTTAAAGGGAGACCACGCCCACTCTGATGATGTCAGAACAACCCAACCATTGTTTAGTGACAAGGAGGGTTGTAGCAATAATTCAAGATCAGTTTGATGATTGGCTGTTGATTTTGCACATGTCAGATGATTATAATGTCCTACTTTACCTGATGTCCCACATTACCTGAACTCACCCTTAAACATGGCTGAATGGCTTTTTAGAATGTTGTACGACCCATTGCTGAATTCAGCAAACATTTACCCAAGCTAATTACCTACCGTACCGAAGAAATAATTATTTTAGCCTACTCTTTGATAACGTCTTGGGGAACCACAGTTAGACTTTGGGTAATGTAAGGTTAGGTCTTGAAATATATTTTTCTTTCATCGTTAAACAAGTTGGAGGTGCGCCGTCCCAGAGACGGGACATTTCTAAAGTGAGGTAGTATATGAGCTGACTGTCA